AAGCACTGAGGGTTAGAATTTATTTTTCTTTCCATGGCTTAAAATCACCCGTGTTTTCAACTCTTTTTTTCCTTCCCACATGTCTAGTATGGCCTTTAAAAACCCAACTTAATGCCTGGCTGGCGTGTCTGAGTGGTTGAGCATTGACCTATGAGCCAGGAGGTCACAGTTGATTCCCAGTCAGGGCACATGCCTGGGTTGGGGGCTCGGTCCTCAGTGGGAAGTGGGGAGGACATGCAGGAGGCAGTCGATCAATGATTCCCTCTCATCATTGATGTTTCTCTCGCTTTCCTCCTCTCTGAAATCAGTAAAAATATATATATTTTAAAAACCCAACTTATTTTGGTCATTAAATGTGCAATATTCACTTCTTCATTGTTCAGCATTTTACACATTGTACAAAGGACATGTTTTTATATAATGACTAGAGGCCCAGTGCACATTATTGTGTGGCCCCACCCACCTGTGTGCCCCCCTCTCCCCCCCGCCCGCCCACCCACCAATTTCACAGCAGCGTTTGCAGCAGTGCTTGTAGCCGCCCACCGCCTCGCCGCCCTGCTGGCCCACCGGCCACCAGCCTTGCTGCGATTGGACCCTGTGGGCTGCGGGGGAGGGCCCGAGAGGTGCTCCATGCACCTCATGGTGACTGGTTGTTTGGTTGTTTTGGTTGTGATGCCTCTTGGCATTTTATTATTATGATGAGAAACAAGAAAAAATGAGAATTGGTTAAGTAAACTGCAAATAAACTAGACTCAAATTTAACGTATACATGGTGGACATGGCTCATTTTTGGCAAGTTGGTTGGCAGGTCTTTTCTTCCAGAAATTACACTAAGGAAAAATGGGAAAATAGAAAGCTTGTAGTGGGTGGAATCTATATTCTGTGACATTTCACTACAATGGGCGAGGCCTCTAGTTTCAAAGAGAAATTAAACCTTGGGGGTTTAAGAGTTGGCATTGACAGGAAGCCACCTGGTGATTCCAGAGACTCAGGAGCACCTGGACGGCCCATCACATGGTTGGGACTGTGGTAGGAGGGACATGAAACTGCACAAAGGCTCTCACAGCCTGAGTTCCTGGGTGGGGCTGGGGGAGGGCGCCTCTGGAAGGGCAGAGCTGCCAGGGGAGGGTGGTGTAACCCGCTTGGTCATGGTTTGTCAGGAAATCACTTCAGCTTTGGAAAGTTCTTCCTTGGTGTTCCTTTTCATTAACATTTGTAGGACACACTCTGAATGGGTCAAGGATGGTGGGAGGGCAAACACGCGATGCTGGCCAGTTCACTTTCCTACCTGGGACTTTCCCCCCACATTAAAGTGAGAATTATTGAAGCCATACCCGTCTCCTGGGTTTTTAGTGAGAACTACCCAAGATCACAGAGGCGAAGGGGCATTGAGGACACAGGGACCCCAGAAATTTAGGAGCTGTTCCTGTGGAGGGGGTGGGGCTGAGCCTAAGTGGCCAGGGATGGAGGTGGGTCAAGCCCAGGACCCCTAACCCTTGGTCTCAAAGGTCCCTCTAGCCCAGCCGTGGGCAAACTACGGCCCGCGGGCCGGATCTAGCCTGTTTGAAATGAATAAAACTAAAAAAGAAAGACCGTACCCTTTTATGTAATGATGTTTACTTTGAATTTATATTAGTTCACACAAACACTCCATCCATGCTTTTGTTCCGGCCCTCCGGTCCAGTTTAAGAACCCATTGTGGCTCTCGAGTCAAAGTTTTTCCACCCCTGCTCTAGCCTGAAGGTAGACACCTGTCTCTCATCCACTCTGGGCATGAGATATGTGTGAACACTCTGCTCCTCACCCCCACCCCAGTGTCATTTCCATCCGAAGGCACGGGGACTACCTCCAGTGTAGATTATACCGTGTCGTCTCATGTAGCCACATCTTGATTTAAAATCTAGGCTATTAGCTAGCTCTTTGAGGCAGGGAAAGTGTGTTGGGCTCTTGGTGCATCTGGGCGGGCACCCGGGCGGTTGTTGCCTCTTCCATCTGCTGCCCATGTCCAGCCCCCTGTGCATTGTGAGCGAGTTGTTGGAGTGCCAGAGGGAGCCTCCACTGTCCCTCCTCTAAGTGTGCCCCAGCCCATCACTGTGTCTGGAACAATGTGGTCAGAGGCACATTCCTTTGAGGAATGCTGCTGCTTCCGTTTCAAAGTGCAAAGACACAGGAAGGACCACCATCGGGGAACTGTGAATGTGGGTTGTAAGACCATATTATTGAATTATCAATTTTCTCAAATGTGGTAATGGCATTGAGGTTATGGGGGAGGATGCTCTTGTTCTCAGAAGTCACAGTATTTAGGGGTGACATACTGTGATGCCTGCAGCTTACTCACAAATGGTTCGGCCACACACACACACACACACACACACACAGTTGAATGTAGGTAGTAGGTACCTGGGGGAACATCTTGCTTTTTCAGTTTTGCTGTGCATTTGAAAATGATCACAGTACAAAGTTAGGGGTAAAATCACCTGGAGGATTTGTGTAAAATTCCAGCCCTGCACTCAGAGCCTGTGATTCCGGAAGTCCAGGTGTGCTCAGAATGGGGATCTGAGCAAGCTCCCCAGGGGTTCCTGATGCAGGCGCCCTTGGAACCCCCTGGGGAGACACTGCTCTGAGTGCCAGGGTTCCAGGGTGGAAACCCAGCCCCAGAGCATTGTGGGGCTGGAGCAGGTGCAGTGATCAGACAGGTGAGAGTCGTCATGCTAAGCAGTACAGGGAGCTTAGCCCCTTGGGTTCACTGACTCCCTTCCGCTACTTGGAGCCTCCTCTGCAGCCTCTGCTAGGCCTCACCCTGCCCCACCCCCACACTCCAGAACTTTCAATTGTTTAAACATCATGCTGTGTCTAACCTCCTGGCCTTTGCTCAGACTGTCCCCTCTGCTTAGAATGCCCTTCTTTCCTACCTCCCAACCTGCATTCTCCCCCATTTTCATGGCTAATGTGTACTCCCTCCACGTCCCCCCTCTAGGAATCCTTCCCAAGTCTGGCCAGTCATCCCTTTTGATGTGCTCCCACAGCACCCCCAGCATACTGTTGCCCTTAATAATTTCCCATTCGCTATGGAGTCCTCAGGGCTGTCCCCAATGCACTGCCCAGCCCTTGAGGGTGAGTGGGACATGTACTTATATATGGCAAATGGGAGACCCTCTAGAGCAAACATGTCAAACGCAAAGGCTAACATGGGCCAAATAAATGAGGCATGTGGTCCATGGGCCGAGAGTTTGACATACTTGCTCTAGAGCTTTCTTTTTACCTCCAACCCAGAAACCCACAACATTAGAGATGGTAGATCCCTAAGTAAGAACAATGAGCAATCCCACCCCCGTCCCCCTGCCCCCCCTCCCCCACCAATCTGTGATGGGCATGTAGCTTTGGTGAGAATAAACCCTAACTATTTTCAGCCATTGTGATTTGGGGGTTTGTTTGTTACCACAGCCTGCCTGATACACATACCTTATTCATTTTTGTACCCCCCAAACATTTGGCCCAACTCCTAGCACAAAACAGATACATAAGAAATAATTCCTATCACTATTGTTCTTGGCTGTGAGACTGGCCTCAAAGACCAGGCAGAGGTTCCAAGACCAGCATCCTGTGTCCTTCATTTCTTCCCTGGTGATACAGGACCCTCCGTTGAGGTGCCCCAAAGCATCCCCATTCAGGGAGGTACAAATGCCAACTCCTCTCACCCTTTAACAGCTTGGATAGGCTCCTGGATGGATCCCAGTTAACCATGAGACTCCTTCACCCACTTGCCCTGGCGAAGGCTCTGGGGAGGGGGGGGACCTCATATCACTGCCCTGCTCATTAACTTGTAAAATCCCTCAGCCTTCAGGCCATCTCCCCAAGGAAGCATGAGAGAGGACCTGTGCTTACTCTGGGTCACCATTTGAGCATTTGAAAAAGTCCTGAAGGAACGGAAGTTTGTTCCCTTTGCCTCTTCAGTCCCCTGTGGGGGGAATATCTGTGGCCCTTTCCTCTTGCCAGCTCACCCGGGCCCCAAGTCCACCTCCTCCCCTCTGCCTGACCCCAAGGAAGTGATCAACAAGTTCACACAGACGTGTGAATGTGGAAGGCGGGACCCTGCAAGTCAGCCTGGCAAATGGGTTGAAACTGCTGGTGCCTTTGTGCATCCTGGGAGGATGCAGGTGGTAGAAAGGTCAGAGCTGCAGCTGCTTTATCCTCAGGGTCCTGCAGCCCAGTCCCCGTGAGGTTTCCCAGCCTGAGGACAGTGGATTCCAGATGCTCTGAGATGATGGGTGTTGGTTTCCTTTTCCCAGGAGTCCCAGCTGGAGGCAGTGCAGAGCAGCTGATGGGGTAAGAGGTGGGCAAAGCGGGTGGGGCACTCCCAGAGGAGACACCAGGGGGCAGGGGCACCAGGGTCCTCCTCACCGCTGACTCGCTCTTCCTGGGACCACCGCTTTGCACGGCCCCAGCCCCACAGCCCGGGCCTCAGGCTTGCTCTCCGGAACTTGCATCCTCAGCGAGGCCGCACTTGTCCGAGAACTAACTCTGCAAGTCCCAAGGTCGCGCTCACATATGTAGACAGCTTGGCACTTCCCCAAGTCCCTTCACATCCTCAGACCTTGAGAGTCCTCCAGCCAGGAGGGAAAAATATTACTGTCCCTGTTCAACAGTAGAGAAAAGTGCCTGGGCCACACAGCAAGTGAGTGATAGTCAGGGTGGAGTCTGGGCCTCGGGGCCCTATGGCCAGTGTCCTGCCTGCTCTACTGTGGTGTTCTAGGTAAGAAAAGGGCTTTTCCAGACGTTTCACATGGAGCTCACACATGCACAGACATATACACATTCTTTCAAAATGCTGGTCCCACTGACGTAATATTACCGGGGCTCCGAGACAGATGTCCATGTAGGAGACCACTGAGCCCCTGTGTGGGGTCTTGACTCTCAGGGGGTGCCCAGCTGGGGGCTGCCAAGGTGCCTGAGAGCCAGGAAGGGCTGCCCCAGCCAAGCCTCACGCCGGCCTTTGCAGCTCATGGTGCACAAGTGGATGCCTGTGTCTGAGAGGCTCCCCGTGGTGGACATGTGGCTGTGGGTGGACTCCGTGGGCTCCTCTGGCTCAAATTCTCATAATTGGACTCTTGAGCCTGAGGCCTGTGGGCAAGAGAAAGTTTGGCTGATCAGCCAATACCGTAGGTAGGGGTCCCTGACTTCCCAAACCACAGCCCAGCCAGGGGCAGGAAGGAGGGATGAGGTGGGTGTTGGGGCCCTGATCCAGGGCCTGGACACTAACTGAAGGTTGGAGGCAGGGCAGCGCAGAACTGGTGGGGGTGGGTAGCTCACTTACCGTGGTGCGGTGTCCTGACTGACTGGATCCTCTATGTGAGGGATAGGGAGAAAGAGAGAGAGAGGGCATGAATCTACAGGGCGGCCTCCAGACTATAGGCCTGGCCGTCCACCCCGCCCCACAGTGGACAGTGGTCTGAAGGGAAAGCTGGCAGGGTGTGAAGGGTCACGTGAAGGGTGAGCAGGAGTTACCGAGGAGAAGGGTGGAGTAAGGGACGGTCCAATAGAAAAACCTGCCCTCCTGAGGACCCGGAGCACGGAATCCTAGATGAGTTTGAAGAACCAGCAAGAGAGACAGTGTGGCCGCGGCAAAATGGCAGCTGGGGCAACGGTGATCAGTTTTGGATTTCATCCCAGGGGAGTGTGAGGCTGGTGCTATTGGCCTGGGTGGTCTGAGTGGCTCTGGGAACCCCCACTTTGGGGCACAAGAAAATTTCCCCTCCAGCCCAGGAGCAATGTGGGGCCCACTGCAGCTCCCTATTTAGCCCCCCACACTTCTGTGCATGCTGTTCCCCTGGGAACACACTAGCCCCTTGTCTTCCTAGCTCAGTGATGGCAAACCTATGACACGCGTGTCAGAGGTGACACACGAACTCATTTTTTTGGTTGATTTTTCTTTGTTAAATGGCATTTAAATATATAAAATATCAAAAGTATAAGTCTTTGTTTTACTATGGTTGCAAATATCAACAAATTTCTATATGTGACACGGTACCAGAGTTAAGTTAGGGTTTTTCAAAATGCTGACACGCCAAGCTCAAAATGTTCACCATCACTGTTCTGGCTCATGCCTCCTTACAGTTCACCTCCCTCTGGCCTCACTTGTATAATGCCCTCCTTCCTGGCCCCACCCAGATGCCCCCCAGAGGGATGCATGTGTGCCCTGAGCTCCCACAGTGCCCCGACTCTAGGACACACTTCTGCGACTGCAAGCATCTCCTCACTCCTCATCCCATCCAAGGGCAGGAACCCCGTTTTATTCACCTCTATTGTGAGAACCCCACAGCGCCAGCAGGTCCTCCCAATGTCCCAATGCTGCTGTAACTAGTGAAATGGTGCTACTCGCCAAGCCTACCTGTGATCAGAGAGCTCAGGGAGGAGTCCTTTATGGGGGTGGTAAAGGGGAGGGCTCCAAAACTACACTGACTGGTGTCTATCTCTGCGACTGGAGGCTAGAGGTGAGTCCCTTAGCCTTGCTGGCCTCAGCTTCCTGATTGTAAAGTGGGTTCACGCTGTTCCCAGCTCCTGGGTTTGATGCAGGTAGCGGAAATGGAGGGGGTGCAGAGGCGCAAAAATGAGGTTTTGGTTGTGTCATGCCAGGTGGTCAGCCTGATGGTCTTATCGAAAAGGACAGCCCCGCCCCGCCGCTCCCCTAGCACCCACTTGGGCCCAGGCGCACCCACCGAGGCGGCGGCGGCGGCTGGTGCAGGCGGCCAGCGCGCCCAGCAGCAGCAGCGCCTTGAGGCCGAGCGCGCCGAGCAGGAGGGCGATGGTGGAGGCCCCGGAGGCGCCGTGGAAACGGAACAAGTAGACGCTGGCCTCGGCGCGGCCCAGGCTGTTGGAGGCCGTGCACGTGTAGCGACCGTCTTGGGCCAGCGCTGGCAGCTCGGCGGTCACCTGGTGGCCAACACCCTGCCCCGGGCCCGGCGCGGCGGCGGAGCGGTTGCCCAGGGCCGGGCCGGACCAGGTGAGGGCGGGCGGCGGCTCCCCCTCGGCGGTGCAGAGGGCGCGGAAGGCGTGCGTCGGGCCCGGCAGCACCGATATATTGATGATCCGCGGGGCAGCTGCGGGCGGCAGTCGGTGGGGCGGGGAAGAAAGCGAAGCGCGGTCAGAGGGTGCGGCCGGCAAGGAGCAAAGGTACCCTCCGGTGTCTCCTTTTCTCGCCCAGAACGTAGGGAGAGGTGGGAGCAACGCGTAACGGAGGGAGGGAGTGGGCACCTGGGCACCAGCCTGCCTGGGTCCTGGGGCCCTGGTCCAACTCTCCCGCCGCGCTGTGCCTCCGTTTCTCCAGGTGTAAATGCGGCTCACTTACCTGATGGGTCGGTAGGAAGATTTGGCCAGTTAATGCGTGCAGGGCGCTTGGACTAGGGCCCGGCCCACAGTAAGTGCTCACTAAATAGTCCTTGTTATGGTGGTGGCGCAGGGTGGGGGTGGGGGGGTAGCCTGCCGGTGTGATCTCAAGGGCACCTCCCAGCACCAGGCCACCTCACCAAGAGCTAGAGTGGAGACTGATGCTCTGAGTCCCGGGCCTGTGTTAGGCAGGCGCCCCCCGGGAGGAAACTGACATGCTCTCAGAGGGGCGCGCAGCCAGCCCGAGGCGCAGGCGAAGTTCTTGGGAGGGTCAGACTCCAACCCCAAACTCCTGGACGACCCCGCCCAGGACCATAGCAGGTCCCGGCTTTTTAAAGCTCTACAGGTCATCCCGATGCGCAGCCCGAGCAAACCGCTGCTCTAGGGACGGGGACGCTGGTTCCCACATCTTTATACCCCAGCGTCGAGCCAGCGCGCCGCCCCGGGGACGCGGTGCCTTTCAGAGCCCACAGCGCCCACCCCATGGCAGCCCTGTTGCCATATTTCGGGGTATCCACCGTTCACTAGTTCTTCGCTCCCCTGGACTTGGAGCTCCTGGGGACTTAACTCTCCAAGGGCTTCTCTACAATGCCCATTCCCGGGCCCACCTAGCCCTTCGGGGCCGCGATTTGCACGTTTGACAAAGTCCCAGGGGGCCCCATAACCACTGCCAAGTGTGAGGCCCCGCCCTGGAGAAAGGAGGGTGTATGGCTCCCCGTCCTATCTCAGCGGCGCGGCACCTCGTAAGCCCCCCAGAGGGGCGGGGAGGGGCGGGGGGGGGGGCGGGAGGGAGGAAGGCTGCCGCCTCGCCCGCAGCCCGCCCCGCGCTCACCGGTCACGTGCAGCCGGACGCCGTGGCGGCTCTCGTAGCGGTCGTGGATGTCGCCCGCGAACTCCACGCGGCAGAAGTAGCGGCCGTCGTCGGCCAGGGCGAGGCGCTCCACGCGCAGCGAGAGGTCGTTGCGGCGCGGGTTGCCCAGCAGGCGGAAGCGGCCGTGCAGGCTGAGCGCTGTCTGGCAGAGCTCGCTGCCCCGCGCCGCCGCGCAGCGGAACACCTGCGGGCCCGCGAAGGGCTCGCCCGCGCGCCAGATGGCCGTCAGCGGCCCGTCGTAGTGGCGGTGCGGGTGCGTGAAGGTGCAGGGCAGCACGGCCGCCTCGCCCGCCGCCGCGCTCACCTCGGCCGGCAGCTGCATGGACCAGCGCTGCGTCGGGGCACCTGGGGGGGGGGGGGCGGCCCCGGGGGTCAGCCTTACCCGCCCCTGGCCTGGCTGCGGCCCCCGCCCCCATTCCCAGGCTTCCAGGGGGACCCCTTGTAAACCCATGACTCAGGAAGCACCCCTGCCCCGGAAGAAGGGTCTGGAAACCCACCGGGTGCCTAGAGACATCTCCTGGAGCCTTGACTCTCTTAACCGGGAGGTTCCTGGACCCTCCCCCACTTCCCTGGGACTATTCCCTCTCTTTCTCCCCACGGTCCCACCTCCCCAACAGGCCCAGTGACTCCAGCACTTGCCCTGCTGCAGAGAAGTCCTGGATTCTGTGGTTACTAGAGTCCCAACCCCTCCAAGATGGTGAGGATAAAGCACTTACTGTGCACGTCTGTGTTGAGCAAGTTCCCGGTGGTATCTCTCTTAGTTCTCACAAATGATCCTAGAGGTAAGCATAGTTATCGCCCGTTAGGCACAGAGGGTGAAGTAGTTGCCTGCGGTCACACAACCAGCATGTGGCAAAACCAGCATTCAAACTCAGTCCCGCCTGACTCCGCAGCAGCACTCCGTTGCACTAAAGGCATGGGGCCTCGGGTCTCATCCAAGGACACCAACACTCCCACTCATAGAGGGGAAACTGAGGCCTGGGAGGGGTGGTATGTTTTGAAGCAAAAGTGTTAAGTTGGTGGATAAGATTCCTCTAGAATCCAGGCCAACCCAAGTGGGCTTCCCAAGAGGCTGGTGCCCAGACAGGGAGCTGAGAGGCACTGCGTGGTGGGCAGTTAGGCTGCCCCTTGCTCTGTGCAAGCATGCCTGTCCGGACTCCGTGTCCTCACCTCCTGGGCTGTGAGCCTCTGAAGTATGGCCAAGCGAGAGCCAGAGGCTTCACTCTGCCTCCAGCTCACTGAGGGCTAGTGAGTGACTCCTGTGCAATTGAACATGTGCTTCGAGAGAGGGCTGGGCTGGGTGGGTGGGTGGCTGTCAGTGTGGGTCCTCAGAGGATCAAACCAAGGGTCGTGCCTCCCCAAGGAGGGAGGGCAGGCTTAGCAGCTAGTGCCCAGCTGCAGTTCACGAAAAAAAATATTTAGAGAGAATAATATAGCAGCCCTTGTATTTGCAAAGGGCTTTGCAATTTACATAGTTCTTTCACACACATCATGTCACATGACCCTCAAGACACCCAGGGGAGAAAAGCAGGGCCAACATTGTTATAGATGAGAAAATGAAGGCCCAGAGGCACACAGGCAGAAAGGGGGAGAGACCCGGCTTTTCTGATGCCAAGTCCAGTGCTCTTTGCTCTTCAAGGTAGCCTGACAGAGTCATCTCTCTGTGAACCATCCACAGGTTAGAGCAGTGGTCAGCACACTCATTAGTCAACAGAACCAAATATCAACAGTACAACGATTGAAATTTCTTTTGAGAGCCAAATTTTTTAAACTTAAACTATATAGGTAGGTACATTGTTATTAACTTAATTAGGGTACTTCTAAGGCTTAGGAAGAGCCACACTCGAGGGGCCAAAGAGCCGCATGTGGCTCACGAGCTGCAGTTTGCCGACCACGGGGTTAGAGCATTCCTCCTGCACAGAATCCCTGTCTATACCACCACGTGACTCCCACTAATGTGGGGAGCATTGCGCATCCCCTCCCCGTGATAGCCCTTCCAGAAGCCCATCATGGCTACCGGACCCATTAAGCCTTTTCTGGTGAAGGTCCCAGTTCCCCCACTGCCCCGCCCACTCCCACTGCCTGCTCAGTACTTTCCTGCAGTGTAGTGTCCTGACCCGGGCTCTAGGTGTGGGCTCCGGGTGCGCTGGGCCTGCAGAGTGGGGTCCGAATCGGATTCTGTGAGTTGGGCCTCATATACAACCTCACTTTGCCCTTGTGCTGAGCTTGCGATCAAATAAAACCACAAGTTCTTTTTTTCACATAATCTGCTAAGCCAAATCTCTTTTCTTCCGGACAAGTGGAATTACGCTTTTGAACCCAAATGGAGGACTTGACAATTATCCTGAGTAAGAGCTTGTTTGCTCAGTCGTTAATAATCAAATTTGAGAAACCTTCTGAGGTTTGGCTGGTTCACTCGGTACTCCCAGCTGCAGAAAGCATCTTCCCGCTCTGAGACTTAGCCCCTGCCTCAGTTTCCCTGCATTTCCCACCCTCTGTAACTTCAGCCTCCTCTGACCCCCTGCATCTCACAGGCAACCCAGATTCCCCAGGCATTGTTCGTTCTTGTCCATTTATCAGTTAGCAAACATTTATCGGACACGTCCCCACTCTAAGCCAGGCACCGGGATTGGAGAGGGGGTTACAAAGATCAACAGAAAGATTTACCAGCCTGCTGGAGCTCACAGCTCAGAAAGGGAGGCGGATCTGGGAACACATAATTACCCCACTGCCTGCCAGGTGCTCTGATGAGAGACAGTGTTCCCTTTGTCTGAGCATGGTTCTGGGCCCTTTCACTCACCAGCTCCCCCCTCAGCACCCCCAGGTCTCCTCCGAGTCTGCCGACAGTGGGAGGCCTTCCTTGAGGCCCACAACTGGGTATGGCACCCCTACCCTGTGCCCTAGGGCTGGCAGAGGTACTTCCTCTGCATGGGCATTGCCTGTTCACTGTGTGTCTCGCCCAGGTACCCAGCACAGGGCCCATGTGTGTGTGGTCACACTTGTGTTGTTACTGCCCAGCACAGTGCCATGTCACATAGTAAGTAACGCAATTGCCATGACAGTGGGAGGGTGATCCGGCTGGCAGGAATGGCTGGGCACATAGTGGGTGGGGGAGAGGCATCGTGCAGATAGTAGGCAGGCAGGGAGTGGAGGACCCATGAGAGAGGAGACACCATTTCAGCAGAGGCTCGACAAAGGAGTGGGATGTTACTAAGCCTCGAGGTGGGTTGAAGGCAGTCTAGACAAAGGGGGCAACAGGACAATGCAGAAGGCAGGGACATCAACAGAGAGGTTGCAGGACATGTGGGGTTTAGGGGGCCAGAGGCCACAGTACTTTGGGGGCTCCTTGAGGGACATACCTCATCTCATTTCATATGCACAACAACCCCGTGAGGGACTGTCATTAGCCCCTTGTTATTATTTATTTTTTTAAATATATTTTTATTGATTTCAGAGAGGAAGAGAGAGGGAGAGATAGAAAGATCAATGATGAGAGAGAATCATTGATCAGCTGCCTCCTGCATTCCCCACATTGGAGATCAAGCCAGGCATGTGCCCTGACTAAGAATCGAACCATGACCTTCTGGTTCATAGGTCAACGCTCAACCACTGAGCCACACCAGCCGGGCTAGCTCCTTTTTAGAGACGGGGATGGGGGTTCGGGGAGGGTGGGGATTGGGGCTCAGAAAGCACAAGGGATATGACCAGGTCAGCTGACTAACCAGAAGCAGAGAGAAGCAGAGCCTGAGGCTTTGCCCTCAGGGGTTCAGATTCAGCCTGAAGTGTGACACAGATGGGGGGGTGGCGGGGGGAGGCCTTCCCTCCCTGGGGTTCTGCTGTAAGAGCAGAGAGGGCACACAGAGGCCTTTACCAAGTGTTACCCTCTTGGCTCTGGGTAGGGCTGGAGGCCGGAATCTGGGTTTCCTGTTTACCTGCTGTAGGACTCCCTCTCACACGAAGACCTTTGGATGAATCCCCCTACGGAACTCAAAGTTGGCAGGAATTGCCCAGGGTTCAGATGCATTTGCTTTGGCAGGGATCCAAGCTCCCAGCATCCTGTGACATTTAGCATTCTCTCTGGCAGCTCACACACAGTCTCTTGTCTTTTAGGACAGGGGAGGGAAGACACCACCCTTTCTTATAGGATCTCTAATTTCCTTATCTCGGTTTTGTCAACCTCTGGGGTCAACAGGAGGCCCATATTCTTCTGGTGGGCCACAGGGCATGGTGGAAAGTATTTCAGCTTTGGCACAGCTAAGCCTAGGGGGACAATCTTACTTGGGGGTCATTCTCTCTTCAGACGTGTATCAAGCACCCAGTCTGGACCTGGCACTGTTCTAGGCTCATTCACGTAGTAAGAGATGTTTGGGCAAGATTCTTACTAAATGGCCCAGGTCTCATTCGGGCTTTTCTGTGGCAGAAAGGGGAACACAATACCTTTCTCATAGGATTGAGGATTGAATGAAATCTCTGTAGATCACAGTGCCTGACACTCAGAAAAGACTCAATGGCTGTCAGCTCCCTCGATTCACTAGCCCTGCAAAGGGGCGGGGTTGAAGGGGGCAGGGTGGAGAGTGCTGACCAGCGGAGGAGTCCCTCTCTAAATCAGGGACAAGGGTCCTCACTCTGCAGGGTTGTGGGGAAGAGTAAATGAGCTGCTCGTCCAAAGTCCAGCACAGGACTCCCTGAGGATGACAGCTGCCGAGGTTGCGAGACCCGCTTATCAGAGATTTGTGGACCGACTGGGGACTTTTACAAGGCCACCCAAGTCGGTCAGCACTCTCCACCCTGCCCCCTCCACTGGTCAGCACTCTCCACGCAGGGTGAGGCGGGGTGGGGGTGGGGGGCGTTAAGACACATTGATATCCTAACATTGCACCATTTGTGACTGGACTTGGCATCTTAGACCACAGGAAATTCGATAGCCTCGCTCTTGCCCATAACTCACCTGGTAGCCAGTCATTTCTTTGTGTATTTATTCACTCAATAGCTACTCATTGAGGGCCTATTGTGTGCTAGACATTGTGTTGGGGATGCAATTACTGCAACAATTAGCGGCCCTCCTCGGTTCTAACAGGTGTTTGCTTAGCACCCCTGCCTAGGGAACTAGAAAGTGAAAAGCTGGAAAGTGGATTCTGTTTGCAGGCCCATTGAAAGCAGCAAGAAAAGACAGCTGACATCCTGGGAGGAAGGAGCCTGTGAACATGATGAAAAGACGGCTCAGGACCCGGGACCGAAACGCCAAAAGTTTAGCACAGAAGAGACCTTTAAAAAGGAGTGAGGGCAGAGGGTCTTCAGGCACCGTGACCTGCAGCAGGCTGTGTGACAGATGCTTGCAGCTGTGACCCGAGTCACCTTGGGAAGGTTCATTACTATGAGAGGTGGGCCCCCAGGTGGGGGATCAGGCATCTGTTTTGGGCTCTAGCCCAGGCCAGACTGACCCTGACTTTGTGACGTTAGGCAAGTCCCCACAGCTCTCTGGCCTCAGTGGGCTCATCTGTGAAACGATGTCTCGATGTTTACTAAGGTGACTTTTCAGTCTAAAAGTCTATTCTGAAAATAACATTTGGATAAAAGTGATAAGGAAGTCAAGTATTTTAGAAATATGTCTGTTTAAATTAAAAGACTATACCTAATGGCTTACTTAAAAATAAGCCATTAGGTATCCAGAAAACTTAGCTATTGACAGTTGCATCTGGGCCTTGATGCTCCTGTACCCATTTACCAAACTCTCCACATCGTTCCTCATGGTGACTGGTGCTCAGCTGGGAAAGGCTGGGCTGCAATATTGGGCACCAGCTCCTGCGTCACCATAACCACGACTCAACTAAGGGGTAGTCGAGTCACCCTGGACTTGTTATCCCAAAGCACCATGCATATCTGCAGAACCTGGATGGGCAGAAGGGGTATCTGGATGGATCAGAAATAGAAACCTTGGTTTTGGCTGCCTTTGACCAAGAATTCTACCAGTTCCTTGGTGAAGAGGGAGCAGGAATGTGCCTGGGGCCTCTCTGGAGGTCACTGGCAGTGGGCTCTGTAATAGTCTGCTCATGTGAACTATAGAGAAAACCGCTTATCGGTCTCATCACAGAATGCGGGCCAGTTGCTGTCTGTGGACCACAGACAGGAAAGTGATCCCGGGGTGGTCCTGGTGGGACGATGGCCAGTGGGATAAGCACCCTCACAGATGGGGCTTTAACAAGAATAGGTCTGCTGGGTGGGTTTTATGTGACATTTTAAGAGGAAACAAGTTATGGACTTGGGAGGGGGAAGGATGACACCACATGGGCAGTCAGCATGGACCTCGGAGGGATAGCCTAGCGGCACTTACAGGAACTCAGCGGTACTGCTCCCGTGGTGGCTGGTCAATCTGATGAGTCAGCTGTGTGTGCAGGGCTACCCTCCCCAGGGACACCTGGGCAATTCAGCAAGGGTGTTCTCAGGGAATGACTCTAATGGTGGCCTCTCAGGCACAGTGACACCTGGAGGGTCAGGTGAGGGCGTTTTGGGAGCAGGGAGGGATGTTCATTGTGGCCACCAACCTCACCAGTTAGGTGTGTGGGTTGAGCTGGGGAACGCTGCCTTTCTTCCAATCCCCTCCTGCCCCTTGGTTTGCTGCCGCAGTGCTTTCTGAGCCTGCATGCTGTCCAGATAGGTTATCAGTGGAGAAAAGATGAGAAAGGGGTAGAGTCCAGAGGGGAGAGGAGGGAGTGGAAACAGGAATTCCATCCTTCAGTGAGAACCAGATCCAGAAGGGTCTAGGGAAGGGGTAAGGCACACTGATGTGTGAGTACAGGGCGTGTGGGTCTCCAGCTGCCCTCAGGTTATCCTGGCTTCCCCCTACACCCTGGCCTCTTTGGCTGCTCACCTGAGCTGAGTGAGATGCAGAGCCACTGTCCTGGGGCCCGTGTCCACCACAGGACGCTGCTCTTCAGAGTTCTGATTCAGCCTGTCCCTGTCTGCACTCCTCGCCTCCTCCAGAGCCCTGTTCTCCTTCACTCCTCCTCCTCCCCGGGTAGGACTTCTCCATCCAGCTGCTGACCAGAGTAGCCACCACCAGCAGCAGAAGCATCCTGGCTCCCTAACCCTTCCCATTCCTCCTGGACCCATGGTGCAGCCACCTCCTCCCTGACTCTACCTGCATCCCGCACGGGCACCCCACAGCCTGGGTGAGTCTGCGATGGCCTGGCCTTTGCAGTTGGTTTTTCTTCAGTGATTCAGAGCTCGTCAACTGCATTCCTCAGAGCGCCAGGCTTTGGCCCAGGCTCACCACCACTGCACACAGGCGACTCCCGTTCACATCCAGGCTGTGACATCCCAGAGTCACCTGACCTCTCTAAATCAGGGACAAGGGTCCTCACTCTGCAGGGTTGTGGGGAAGAGTAAATGAGCTGCTCGTCAAAGGTCCAGCACAGGACTCCCTGAGGATGACAGCTGCTGAGATTGCGAAACCCGCTTATCAGAGATTTGTGGACCGACTGGGGACTTTTACAAGGCCACCCAAGTGGTCAGAGCCCAGACCAGTGTCCACCTCCCCCATTCCTTGGCATCTCCCACTTTCCAAAAGCAGATTTGTGGGGAGAACTTGGGGAAAGACAAGGGAGAGAGTGTGGGGACCACCTGGAGGTGAGGGCCTGCCCAGAGCACTGGGTGCTGAGTGGGTGACGTGAGGAGGGAGAAGGGTGGGGGAAGTGGAGGAGGGATTGTGGAGCAGCTCCATCCACTTCACTTTTGCCCGCGGCCTGCCCTGGGCCCCACGCTCAGAGTGTGGACAGGATGCGACTGTGACCCTGGGCGTGCGGCCCTTTGGGCTCTCACATCGCACCAGGCCCAGCCTGGTCCAGGAGCTTCCTGCCCAGTCCTGCTGCCACCTGGAGGGGCTCACCGGTGGCCGTCACCAGAGGAGTTCCAGAAAGTGGGACCCCCTCACCTCAGCTATGGACCTTTGGGTTTTAGCAGTGAGGCAGCTGCCACTGTGAGAACAACAGGGTCCCTCCCATGAGGCTCACACATGTGGCTCAGCCTTCTGCGCAATCTTGACACACAGCTGGAGCACTGGTGCGGGTCGGGCTTGTTCTGGAACATGTGACCGCGCATGCTTCCTCTAACTCTTGTGTTTAACTGACTCATAGCAGCTGACCTTCAGCAGGAGGGAAACAAACCCAAAGCAAAACACAAATACCCCCATACCTCGCTTCTCTCCAAGCTGTGTGCCTTCTGCAACCTTTCATGCCATGTATTGCATAACCACCAAGGGCCAGGATCTAACTGTCCTTCACATCACCACTGTGAGGTGGCAAGGACCCCACTTTATCGGGGCTCAGAGAAGTTAGGAAGCCTGCGCAGGGCCACACAGCCAATAAATAGCAGAGCCAGGATTCAAAGCCACATCTGACATTAACACTCAGGTCCTGCACTGCTGCTGTCCTATCTGCCCCGGGTCTGGGCAGGGCCGCCTCTTCCAGCTCCTACCCTCTATGTGGGACCCAACCTTAAAGCACCCCAGAAAGATGGCTGAGTTCAGCCAACTTGGGAGAAAGGCTCCTTCCCCATTAGCCCCTGCCATAGGGCCCTGTGCAGGGGACGGCGGGCAGTGTGTGTGTGGGGTCTAGTCCATGGTTCTAACCTCAGTTCCAACCCTGGTCACTCACCAAAGCTCTCTGTGTGTCAGTTTCCCATCTGTGAAAAGGGAATAGAATAGCTCCTTCCTCACAGGGTTCTGAGGCTCACATGAGTTACTAATTAAAGTGCCAGCACTTAGAGTTGCGTGGGCACTTCCTGTTCCTGTTCCTGTTCCACCCAGACCTGTCTGGGCTCTGCTAGAGAGGAAGGGAAGGAGCCGAAGGGGTGCGAGTTTATCATCCAGTCCTGGCGAGAGGCCCCCACACAAGGAATGTTGTTGAACAGCTGAGAACATCATGATGTCAGTGAAGTCGCCAGCAGCATGTGGCAGCAGGGACCGGGCTCACAGACACGGATGCAGAGTCCAGGGGTCACGGGAAGGACCTCCCAGGCTGGGATCGAGGAAAGAGGTGGGGCCCAGACAGAGGGCCACAGAGGATGGCCTCTGTCATTTATCCCAGTTCCCTTGATGGCCCTGGCCATCAGAATCACTCAAGGTGATGGTGGAAGAATGCATATTCCTGGGCCCTGCTGCCTGATCATGTGATTCCATAGGTCTAGGATGGAGCTGAAGTATCTGCATTTTAGTGTGTGTGTGTGTGTGTGTGTGTGTGTGTGTGTGTGTGTGTGTTTAAGCCTCACCCAAGGATATTTTTTCCCATTGATTTTTAGAGAGAGTAGAAGGAGGAGAGGGGGGACAAAGAGGGAGAGAAAGAGAGAGGAAAATATTGATATGAGAGAGACACATCGATTGGTTGCCTCCTGCACAAGCCCTGACCAGAGCTGGGATCAAACTTGCAACCTAGGTATGTGCCCTTGACTGGGAATCAAACCCACAACCCTTTGGTGCGTGGGCCTATGCTCTAACCACTGGAAAGCCTGGGCTAGCAGTATCTGCATTTTAACAAGCATCTCACGCCTCTGGGATTGTGATGCAGATGGTCAGGGATCAACCTGTGAGGCACACTGTTCCCAGGGACACTAACTCACTGAGCTTAAGGACCCAGATGTCACTGTTACTGAGCCTGCCACAGAGAGTTCCCGCTCACCCTTCGCAGTTCCTGCTGGGAGGCCAGGGTGCCCTCTCCCACTTGCTCTATTTCCCACGTGAAATCATCTGCATCCTTACCCCAAACCTCAGTGTGCTCTCCTCCACTCCCCTTGGGGCGTGCCAGTGCCCATCACAACGTAAAACACTGTGTGGGCGGGGCTGGCTTTCCCACCTGAGAGAGTGAGAGGTCACAACACCCAAAGTCTGTTCGGAGCCTGACTCTCCTCCCCAATTCTTGTCCATTATCTCCCTGGATCCCCACAGCACTGGGTGGGCCAGGCAGCCTTTCTACAGGTGGGGACACAGGCCCAGAGCAGCCAGGGGCTGCCTCAATCACTTGGAACTCAAGGCAAAGCCCAGACTTGAACTTCTGGCTTCTGTCACCCCAGCCTCCCGGAGTGCAGCTCTTCCTCCTCCACAGGCCTGGAGACTCTGGGTAATTAATCCCAGCTTCACTGAGTTTAAGGCGAGAAGACTGTACCGAGGGTTTTGTGAGCACCTGTTCTGTTCCCAGCGTGGGCCAGAGAGAAGAGTGGGAAACTCACCCATCGGGAGGATGCACACCAAGCAGGCCAGGAGTCGGACGGACCCTTCCATGTTGTGAGCGCCTGGAGACCAGCCCCCACATTCGGTCAGGCCACCTCGGAGAACCCTCCTTTGCGTGGGTGTGAGGGAAGAAAGGTGTGAGGAGGGGTGGGCGGTGTGCCCAGGTCTGCACCGTGCAGGGCTCTGTGGGTGCTGGAGGAACTGGGGAGAGGCGGCCAGGCAGCCCGAGGTATGATCAGATGAGACCCGTGGGGTTTAGTCATGTGGAAAACTAAGAGGGGAACCACTCGGATGATTTTTCAGGACAGGAAACAGAGAAGTGGATGGGAAGATTGCAAGGCCCTTTCTGTAGCCTGGTCCCTTTAACAAATGACTGCTTCCTTCCCTCCCCTCCCCTACCTCTTTCTTCCCTTCCCTCTCCCTTTCCCTTCCTACATTTTTAGTGTCAGGATGGGTTTCCTCTCCCTCCAGTCCCTTCTTTTCTCCCCTTCCCCATCCGCTTTGGAAAGGAGTTGTGACAAGATGATGAAAGAGATGTTGGGGAGGAGCCTGCCAACATAACTCATCCAAGTGCAGCCAGAAGGCTGTCAGTACCTCCAAGGAAAAGACTGTTCACAGATGACCACCTCTGACGGGGTCCAACCCCTGCAGGTCCAGGGGTCCCCAAAGGTGTGGACGGAGTCGGCGAAGAAGGAATGACATGGAGACAGCGTTCAGTTGATCAGCAGCCTAGCCAGGATCTCCAGCCAAGTTCTGGTCTGGATCTCCAGAGAGGTTCTGCCTAGGATCTCCTGCCAGGGTCTGTGGCCATGTTCCCTCGCTAGGTTCTCCAGCCAGGTTCAGTCACCAGGTTCTAGTCAGGTTCTCTTGCCAATTTCTGTAGTCAGGTTCAGTCCAGGATCTTTTGCCATGTTCTCTCCAGCGAAGTTCTTCTGTTTATTGTCTTCTTACATCTGTATTTATACCAGTTGATTCAATCCTATCAATCTATTACAAAGGTTAGGGCGTTTCTTATCTCCATTCCAGGGAGTAAAGATTATGTAGCTTAAGCATGATTGTTCATAGTTAAAGTGATTAATTACCCGCCTGGCACTTTGTTGAGGGGTTTTATTCCCTCCCTAACTTCAGGGGAAAATCCCTACCTGGGGAAACAACCTTTCTCAGAGAGGAAACCTTGGTTAAAACACATAGTGCCAAGGTGAGCAAACATATTAAGAACAGTATGCCATATATGCCAGGTCCCTTGAAACAGCAAGGATGGATCGGCTCCCGGCATACCTCCATGACCAGAGCCCTCCAGAGGGCCTGGGTCCTAAACCTGCACCCCAGATTTTGATGGTCATAAGGATCACATGAGGATCTTATTAAAATTTAGGTTCTGACCTGGGTTGTCTATCGAGTCCCTAGTGCCGCTGCTGGTCCATGAGCCATACATGCATTACATCCAGTATGGAGAGCTGAGGCCCCCAACCCCATCCCTGGGCCACTGGGTAGAATATCAGATGGAAATGTGGACCCTGGGGGAGAAGGGAAGCTTTTGGAAGCTTACTTGGTGGACTCTTCTGGGATGACAGTGGAAGCTAGAGGTCTGTTTGCTCCATCGAACGGACAGTGTTGGATTTGGACTGTCTGGTGGTAGGATCTCTTTTCTGCTAATGCACTGGACTTGAGTGCCCTGCACAGAGGTAACATTAGCAATGCCACTCTTCCCATTCAGGTGGCGGAGGAAATGCTGTCGGCCAAGTCCAGTTTGTGCCTTGCCTATCATCTGCTCCTCCCCTAGTAACCTCTCACTCTCTCAGGTGAGAAAGCCAGTCCCATCCCACCCTGGAGGCTCCGCCCTGCCTCAAGGTGAGTTCTCTCTGGTGGCCTGGCCATCTTGGAGAAGAGGAGGGTCAAGCTCTGGGGGTCCCAGAATCCTCAGAAAATGAGGAAGGATCTTCTATTCTTGACTGGACTGCTTCCCCAGCTCCTGGCAGAGCAGGGTCCCAGCTCAGTTCCAACTGCTCGGGACTCCTTCTCATGCTCCACTGAACTCCAACTTGCTTCTTTCTTCTAAGTAGTGAACCAGGGGCATCCTTTTAGGAGATGTGGACCTACCCCATTCTTTCAAATAGCTCCTTAGAATCCCACAGAATATATTTTATGTCACATAATTTGTTTAACCACTCCCTATTAATGGGTGTTAAAATTACAAGCAAAGCTGCAGGAGAAATTCGTGCACGTGTCTTTACATACTAGTACTTATATTTCATTAATAATCCCAGAAGTGGGTTCTCTGGGTCATAGGGTATGAACATTTTGCATTTTTTTGTTGTTGTTGTTAATCCTCACCTGAGGATAGTTTTTCCATTGATTTTTAGGGAGTGGAAGAGAGAGAGAAAGACAGAGAGAAACATTGATGTGAGAGAAACACATTGATTGGTTGTCTCCTGCATGAGCCTCCTAACCAGGGCCCAGGCCAGGGAGGAGCCTGCAACCAAGGTACAGGCCCTTGACCGGAATCAAACCCGGGACCCTTTGGTCCTGGACCAATGCTCTATCCACTGAGCCAAACCGGCTAGGGCAGACATTTTGCATTTTAATTATTATGCCTAGATTATGCTCCTAAGAGTTTGCAGTTGTTGTGGTGTTTTACATCTTATTGTATACGTTACAATCAAAGGAGGAGGTTTAAGGGGGTTACATGAAATCCACTGGTGATACATTAGGGATGTGGAAGAAAGCAAATGGGTATGGGGTGGGATAAGGTGGGGGAAGGAGTAGAGGGTGGGGAGGGATCTCTGGGATTAGATAAAAAGTAAAATGAATAGACACATACTTCTTTTACATAGGTGGGTGCAGGATAGTTAACAGTTAACAAGTAACACGGTAACAATAACAGTGAGGGGTTCTGTGGTCTCCTGCTCTGCTGGTCTAGATACAGGAAATCACCCTGACATTCCAAAGGTATGTTATTGTAGAAGCAAAAAGTCAATGGATGGGCTCAGTTAAGGTAAAGACTGACCTTTGCCAAGGAAGATACAGCCTAAGACATAGCTACCTGCCATGACTAGCTTTTAGTTAGAAATTTTTAATGTCAGACCATCCAGTGTGGTTACTTTTGGCCTCAGAATTTGTAAGGCCCACCATGCAGGCCTCTTCTGAGCCACTTTTTCATCCACACTTCTCCCTTTTGGTCATAAATCAATCCAAAGGATGCATTGATGACCAACCTTTTAGCTGGATAATGTGGCCCCCCTGTGCTAGGAAGGCTCATTCCTAGGAAGACTTAGTGTCAGCATTTGTCTTGCTGAATAATGGACCATGGGCAATAGGGCAAGATCATAACCTTGGATGGAAGTCAAGGCCAAATTTTTCTCAAAAGTGAAAAGCAGGTAAATGGGAGGTAAGTATAGCATTTACTTACTAGTGGCCCAGTGCACGAATTCATGTACATTGAAAGGAAATTAATTAGAAGAAATATTTTAATATCGCTACTTGCCCTTTCTCTATAATAGAAGTGTCAACCAAATTCATGATTGACAATGACAGATCGAAACACACGCATGTGATTGGCAACAGTGAGAGCTTTATATGTATCGCTCATGTGCAAGGTAATTGTCAGCAACACAGCAGTAAATATGAACACGAAGCAGATTATTATTGTAGATCACGCAGGGAGAACAAAGGGTAAAATATTTAACTGCAGCAGTGTTTGACTATATTCTGCACAGTGAGAAAACCTGAAATCATTTCCAAGGTTCACCATTTCTTCTTTTTAGTCGGGTCAAGTGTCTAAGCTTTCTAAATCTCCATTTTCCAGCTAATGAAAAAACATAGGATTCCACCGAGTCTCCTATCTACCGACTCCAGGATTTCTGTGAGGATCAAATGAGATGAGGCATGGGAAAACGCATCACAAACATTTGGTTAAACTGTGAAATGTTTGCACCTGGCTATAAAGCAAGTTGGGTTCTTGGGCTGAAGAATCCCAAGGAGGCTAGTCGCTAGGGAGAGGAAGCTGGGTGTTGCTACATGATGTCATTACCTGGCTCCCACAGCCACCTTTCCGGGCTGGGCTGGGCTGTGGGCCGAATTTTGTGCCATGGAGTCTTGGCAGCGTTGGGTTGCCCCAGGGTGGTGGTGGGGCCTGTGTCCCACTTGGGGGAAGCCGAGTGTTGCTTTGTGAGTGCCATGTCCACAGTGCCATTCCTCTGTAAATGGCCAGTGCACGTCATGGCAGCTCCTGCGTTGAGTGTCTGCTCCCTGGTGGTCAGACATTTGGACACTTAGCATATTAGCCTTTTATATATATAGATAGTTTCAGGGCACACCATACAACTCTCCAGTTTTCACAATCTGACTATGAGATGGGTCCCCATTTACTATGGCCCATTCACTTCCCATTGGAAGCATTCAAGTGCTGTTTATTATTAATCTGATTCCCGCTAATTGTGCAAATGGAAGCTGTAACTTTAAAGTTTATTTGGGGCCAAGGCTGTAAGAACACAATGATGTAAATCACAATTACCATAGAAAAATAACAGAGGCCAGGAGGACAGTAAGAGTTTCAAAAGTAAAATTCCTGTGCCTCAGCAGCAGTTACAGGAGCCCATAAAATGCCTTTCTGAATATTCTTTTCCCACTAACCTTCAGCTTCCCCTGTTCTTCATTCAGAAATAACCAACGTATTAGGACAAACTACTTACTTTTAACTTCTGTTAAAAATGCACACAACCCTTTCATTCCCGCTGCACTAACATTCCTTCTAAATTTCAAGAGAAACCATAAATAGTATTATGGATAATACAAAAGTTATTTTATATATCTTCAGCAAGTATTAATAGCTGGGCTATATATACAAGGTTTGAGAGAAGCCCAAAGAACAAGTATAATTATTATTATAGCTAATATTAGCAGACAGGTAAAGACAATCAAACAAAGTTCAACATCAATTTGTAGGAGTATAGGCCTTGTCAATTTCGTGGGAAAGGTGTCTATCTCTGGTGTCAGTGGCTTCTTGTCCCCTGGAAGTCTTTGATCTCTGCTGTAGGTGGAGCCAACTGTCA